GGGGGGGGCCCCCCCCCCCCCCCCCCCCCCCCCCGGCAGAGCTGCAGACCCATCATCCTTTGGATCACTCCCCTTCCCCCACCATCTCGGGCCCTAGTTGGTGCTTTACTAGGCTAATGCCCTCATTGACTGTGCCTTTGGGGGAATATGCCAAGCCTGACCTTCGCCTTTATTTAAAAACAGGAAACAGGGTGGGGAGAAGAGGGAGGCCTTTTCACAGGCAACAGGAAGTGTTTGGTCTTCTCCTCCCCCCCCCCCCAAAAAAAGTTCTCAGGTTAGTTATCAGGAAAGGGTAGAAACATGGGGGAGGGGAATGAAGAGAGTGAAGGGTGGGTTAACAATAGAGGTTTCTTAGGAAAAGGAGCACCTTCCTCCCCCTTTTATTTAAAAAAAAAATGAACTTGGGGGGGCTTGCCAAGAAATAGGTTGAGGCTGGAGATCTGTTCCCTGCCCCCAGGAGGTGGATGGGGAAAGGAGAAAGGTCCTTCTGACTCGAGTCTGCGGGACCTCTCACCCCACACAGCCCAATGCCTCAGTCTCTCCCCCATCCCTGCACCTGCCTTGACAGTTGCTTTTTCTCAGACGAGCTAGCAGGGTGTGTGTGTTGGGGGTGGGGGGGTGGGGGAGGCAGACACAATGGCCCAGCAGGGGCAGGTGGTCCTCAGAGGCCGTGCTAAGGGGGTGGTCCTTCTATAGAACCCTCCCCCCAGGGAGCTTCTGAAGGCACATCTGTCAGAATTCTTCTGCCTTCTCTAAAGGCTGCAGGGGCGGGACCCAGGGAGCAGGGATGGAGGAAATTCCATTGCAGAGAAGAAAAGACAGAATCCCCTTCAGGGAGAAGAGATGGGCTGGGGCAGTAATCAGGTGAAGGGTTACCCAAGGTCCTTGCAGTTCTTTTTTTGGGGGGTGCAGCTGGCACCCTCTGAGCACTCTGAGTGTTGTGGGGTGCAAGCTGTCCATCCCAAGGAATCTGGAGGACCTTCCCCCCTCCCTTCATTGTTGTCTCGGCCCACTCCCCGCCCCGCCCCCAAGGGGAAGGGGGCATTCAGCGGGGCAGCTGCCAGGGCCAGCCCTCTCCAGATGCCTTTTTATGGAAGCCCATATGGCATGGCGTGGCAGGGGCCCAGCTGTCCTGATTTGCATACAGGTGGAACGCTGGGGAAGCAGGTCTGGTTGCCCTGGAGACACAGCCTTTGAGACCCTGCCCCCAAGCCCTGGCAATGCCTGCTTCCTTTCTCTCCAGCCTCCATTTAGGGGCAACCTTTAGAAACATCCTTGGGCCTTCCTTACTTCCCTCCCCACCTAGGGCTTTTTCTCTGAGAATCACCATTCTTTCATTCTCTTGTGCCCATCCCTATTTTTTCCCTCCCAGCCCCTAATATTACCCCCCCCCCCCCCCCCCCCCCCCCCCTATTCCCCCCCCCCCCCCCCAGCACAGGCCAAAGAATTTAGTCCCCACTGGGCTATCTATCCCTGCCTTGAGTGTAGAACGGTGTCCTGTCTCACCTCCCCCAGCCTCCAGTCTTTGAGAGCCAACACACTCCCCAGGATTCTCCCCCTACCAGCTCAGTCACTGTTAGGTGTGGGGCTGCTTTGTTGGGGGAGGGAGGTGGGTGTGGCTGAAGAGACAATACAGATAAAGGAAGAAGAAATGGGCCAAGAGATGAGAAAGGCTAAGATAGATGATTAGCTCTCTTTAAAGAGACCATTTCTTCCCAAAATACAGTTACCATAATATTTATGTCACCTAACACTTTTAAGCTTTGCAAAGTGCTTTTTTTAATTAAAAAAAGTTATGGCCACATTTTGTCTTAACTTTGCCCAGATTTCCCCTTGTGTTTCTCTCCACCCCCCTCCCAGAGAGCCAGCCCATACGACAGTTTGCAATGTGCTTTGTGTATCTCCCATCATATTTGACCTTCACGACTCCTTTTGAAATAGGTGCGGTTATTATCCCTGTTTGGTCGTACCTGAATCTTTGTGGTCCCATTTGGGGTTTTCTTGGCAAAGACAGTGGAGCAGTTTGCGATTTCCTTCAGCTCATTTTACAGATGAGGAAACTGAGGCAAACAGGGTGAAATGACTTGCCCGGGGTCACACAGCTAGTGTCTGAGGCTGGATTTGAACTCAGGTCTTCCCAGACTTCTAGGTTTGTGCTGTATCCGCTGGGCCATCTAGCTCTGACTCCTGATTTTACAGATGAGAAAATTGAGGCTGAGAGAGGTCAAATAACTTGCCTGGGGTCACAAGCTAATGTGTCTGAGATAAGATTCGAATTCAGATCCAGCACTCATTCAGATCATGGGTGTAGAGCTGGAAGGGACCATCTAGCCCACCCATTTTACAGATGAGGAAACTGCCCCACCATTCATGACTCCCCCTCCCCTGCACCATATCTGACCATCGGCCCTTTAGCCTTTAGGGCTGGAACAGCCCACTAGACTTCTGACAGGATTAATCCTGACTCTCAGCAGCTCCTAGTGTCCCAGGGCTGCCCTGTGGGCCAGACAGCAAGCCTGACCCCTCTTTGCCTCTCACGGCTGGGCTGGCCCTCCTCCCGGGCTCACCCTGCCCAGCTTGTCCCGGGGTACTCATCCCAGAGGTCGTTGGAGCAACATTTCTCCGGCACTCTGAGGTTTGCCTGGGCTTCGACGTATCCTCTGTAATCCTCCTAGCTTGGGGAGGTGGGCGCTGTTAGCCTCCTCATTTTGTGTCTGAGGAAGGTTACTCGGCCTGCCCTCGGTCACCGATAGCAGGTGTCCCAGGTAGATCTTGACCTTGGGTCTTCCTGCATCCCTGTATCCTCAGTGGGTGGGTGGGCTGTTGGTGCAGAATCTTGGCCGAGTTGACCTTTCCTAGCCATCCTAGGCCTCTAGCCCAGAACCCCTCGGGCAGGACTTCTCCGTCTTGCTGGGAGGGACTCGTCCTATCTTTTTCTTCATCCCTCGTGATTCGAAATTCTTTTGAATTCTTACAGGTTTCAGGAGGCAATCCGAGAGGCTGGCCAAGTTCGAGAGTGAGTATTGCTGGCCCTCTGTACCTTCTTAGAGTCTCTTTTTAGGGGATGATGGGATTGGGGGGTTGGGTTGTTTTCTTTTTCATCAGTCTGAGGAAACTCCCACCAATGCAGATCTTAGTACCTGCTCTGTAACTCATACCAATGACCGGCCCAGGGTCACACAGTTGTGGTCTTCTGACTCTGAGGCCAGCTCTCTATAGCAGAGTAGAATGGCTTCCCTTCCTGCTGGCGTTGGCGTCTGTTGGGGACCAGGGAGCTGAGAAGGCATCTTTTCTGCAGACTGAGTCACAGGGAGGGTGGGGTCTCGATTTCCACGCTAGCTGTCTCTGCTCATCTCCCTTCTCTGTCCCTGTCTCCTGCAGAGAGAGACTTCCCATCAGACGTTTCCAGTCTTTGCCAGTAAGTTTCCCCTTTTGTGGTTGCAGAATGAGAGCATAGCTTGTCTGGGCCTCCCTGGGGTGAGGGACAGGAAGTGGAAGGATTTCACTCTAGGCCTGTGCAATCCTTTTCTGGGAGGGGGTCAGAGAGCCTGAAGGATTGTAGAGACATAGAGACGTCGGCCCTCCCTATTCAGGCTTAGCTCCAGCCCTGACCTCTTGGAGTCCAGACAGGGCTCCACCTCCCAGCCCTGTTACCAAAAGGGAATGGCCACGCAGATAATACAGAAACAATGCATGAGCTGAGAGGGCCGGGTGGGCTCAGATAGGGCCAGAGGAGGGCCCAGGGTCACTGGTAAGGTAGAGAGAAATTAAACAGGAATCTAGAATCCTGAGGGTGGGTGAGACCTAGGCATCAGAATCAGAAACATTGAAAATATGTTTAATAGGAATGTATATGTAGAGCCTATATCAGATTGCGTGCTGTCTTGGGGAGGGAGGGGGAGAAAAATTTAAAACTCAAAAGCTTTATGAAGTGATTGTTGATAAAGCAAAATAAATTAATTAAAAAAAAAAAAAGATGGCTTAAGGATGGACCCTAAGCCTTCTTCCCACTTTTCTCTGCTGTCAGATGAGACTCTTGGGATCCAGCCCAGCCTTAAGGAATATCACCAACTCCAGGGCCCTGAACATGCCCCGAAAGAGCATGGGTGACATCCAGATGGACAGCGGAGAAGACAAGGAGAATGTGAGCTGGGCACTTGGTGGACATGTAGTCAGGGGAGGGGCGGTGGATTGGGAATGCAGTGCCATCCGATGGTGGTTTGACCTGATAGGCCTTCTCCTGCAGGAAGGATTTGTCTTCAAGATGCCCTGCAGACCAGTGGGGCACAGCCGGTCCACAGCTGCTGAGTGGGCCAGCCGGAGGGAAGCTTTTGCCCAGAGGCCAAACTCAGCCCCCAATCTGATGGTATGCAAGAGGTTTAGGGGTGTCCCTAAAATAAAGGTATAGACATTCCAACGGGGGTAGCTGGTGTTGAGCTGGGATCGCCCACACTGACCTTTCTGTACCTCTGTCCAGTGTTTCTCTCCAGGAGAGAAGGAACAGGACCTGCGTCTCCTGCCCCTGCGCCGCTTCTCCATGAACCCTGCTTCTTCCAGTGGGGAAGATGCCAGTGATGATGGAGATGATGGATTTATGGACATCCTCGAAGATGACCTGAAGGTAAAAGGTCCTGCGGGGCCCAGCTGCATAGCCCCTTCTGCTAGGAAACCCTGGGGGAGGCAGGCGCAGAGCCTGGGGCAGAGTGTGACCTCATGCCGAGGCCTGAAGAGACTCTGAGGCAGAAATCCGCATCAAGGTAGCATGCCGCTTCCCTGGAGTCCAGGAAGAGCAGGTAAGTCATCATCAGGCAGCTGTCTCCAGGAGGACTGAGCAAAGACAAAAGAGCAGGAAAAGCAGGCAAGGATGACCGTGACCGTCGTGGGCTGGACCTTTCATCCTGTCCCAGTGGTACTTCCTACCCCCCCCCACACACGTGCACATGCGCACACACAAACACACACACACGCGCGCACACACACACACATACACATATACACACACACCCCCAGGCCCTCTTGGAGAAGTGGTTCCACTCCAGGAAGCCCCCCCGGCCAAACTAACCAGTTCCTGGCTGCACTCGGTGCTTTCATTCCAGTAAATGTGCTGTGCTGGGGACTCTGTTAAGTGCAGGATGTCAGAGTCAGAAGTTTTTGAAGGGATGGGTGGGGGGCCCTGTGTCCTGGGATTGTTGGCTGATCATGGAGATTAGCAAGATTTGGTTTTTTTTTTTTCCTCCTTGCTTCGTTTATTTCATTCTGTCGTTGACCTATAAAAACCTTTTCTTTTCTTTTCTTTTTACATTTCTTGCAGAATGAGGAGGAGGTTCCCCCGGGGATGGAAAGCCTCATCAGTGCTCCTTTGGTCAAGAAAGAAGAGGAGGAAAGTGGACAGGTATGGTTTTCATCAGTAAGGAGGGGCTCGGAACCTAGGCTGCAGGAAGAGGGATGGATCGTAATCTTAGAGCCAGCGGGGACCTTAAGAGGCCATGAGTCCAAATTTCATTTTACAGACGAGGAAACTGAGGCAAACAGGTTAAGTGATTTGCCCAGGGTCACACAACTAGTAAGTATGTGAAGCAGAATTTGAATTCAGGCTTCCTGACTCTAAATCTAGTCTGCCACCCAACTCCCATAAGAGCCATGGTAGGCTACAGTTAGCTGTCTTGCCCTTTGTGACCAAGGACACATACACTTTGGAGGTGGGACAAGAGAGTTAGTCGATGACCCCAAAACACTTATTTCAGTATGAGGTGGCCACCCTCTGAGAGAGGCTGTCCTAACCTTTTAGTTAACACACACTTGAAATTAACTGCCTTGTCCTTGAGACAGTGTGATATAACGAATAGAGTTCTGGATTTGGGGTCAGGAATCCTGTCTTAAACCATGTAATTATAGGCAAAACTTCAGATAACTAGATGGCTCAGTGAGTAGCGTTGGGTATAGAATCAGAACACTGGGTTTGAATCCTGCCTCAGAGAATTATTAGTTACATGACTTTGGTCAAGTCACTCACCCTTTTTTCTGGCCTTGGTTTCCTCATTGTGAAAAATGGAAACAGTTGGGGATAATAATGGCACCTGTTTCACCAAGTTGTTGAGATGAACATGTAAAAGTGCTTTGCAAACCCATAAAACCTATAAATGTCTCTATAGGTGCTGGCCATTATTTTTAGCTCTTATTAAGTAATTTAATGTCTCTCTGCTTCAGTTTCCCACTCTGTAACATGGGGATAAGACCTGGAGTACCTCCACCTATCTCTCCGTGGGGCTGCTGTGAGGGTTAGTGAGTGTCTGTGTCTGTGTACTTCTCTCTCTCAAGGTCATCGTTGCCTTGTCTTGTATCTCTCCTCCCCACCCACCCCCTCAAGTCTTTAGTCATGCACAGCAAGTGCCGCAGACTCTTCCGCTCTCCCTCCATGCCCAGCAGCTCCATCAGGCCGGTCCTAAAGCGGCTGGAGCGGCCCCGGGACAAGGACACTCCGGTCAAGAACAAGCGCAGGAAGAGCGTGACCATCCCGACCACCGCCCTGGAGGAGAAGGAGGAAGAGCCGGTGAGAGGCTGCCACGGCTGAGAGGGGATCACACAGTCAGTCAACATGTGTTAAGCACCTACTGTGTGCCAGGCCCTGGGAAAGGAGTGGGACTCCAAAGACAGGGCCTGCCCTCAAGGAGCTCCCAATCCCTTTAGGAGCCGGTGTGGGGCAGGTGATGGCTCTAGGCTGGTCACTCCCTGCCGGCACTGGAGAGCGTTAAATAGAGAAGATAGCTTTTAGGGTTTAACGGAGCATTCCCATTTTATAGATCCTAGAAATGAGGCAGGGTTGGTTAGTGTTTTCGAGCTGGAATTTAGGACCATAGGATGATAGGATTCATTTAGAACTTTTTTTTCTTTTTTTTTTTTTAAGGCATTTGGGGTTAAGTGACTTGCCCAGGGGTCACACAGCTAGTAAGTGTCAAATGTTTGGTCTGAGGCCGGATTTGAACTCAGGTCCTCCTGACTTCAGGGCCGGTGCTCTCTCCACTGCGCCACCCAGCTGCCCCCTGTTTTGTTTTTTAAAACAGCTGGTTCTTCTGCCCTAGAATTTGATTTTTTCTTTCCAACCCCCCCCCATGATCACTACCCCCACTTTAGGAGATCTGTCTTTGCTGCTGAAAGTGAGGTCTACCCACATCAGCAAAGCACAGTGGCATCTGGGGGCAACCAATACCAGCCTTCCTCCTGGGGCGCCCAACAGACAGAGAGAAGCTGGCCATCATCTCTCCCCCCATCCTCCCATCGTACATGCAGCTGGCCTCAACCATCATCTTCCCTTCCCTCCACAGAAACCTCGACTTCTCCGTTCCAAGTCTTTATGTCATGACGAAATTGAGACCATCTTGGACAATGATCCCAGAGAGCTGATTGGGGATTACTCTAAGGTATCAGCAGGAGAAAGGGTATTGATTGGAGGGCCTCCTTTTTGCTGGGACATCACTAGTAAATAGTTGGGATTCCTCAGGAAACGGAGCTTAAAACTTTGAGTTGGGATGGAAATCCTTAAGCCCTGGCTGGTTATAGGATCAATCAGCAAACATTTATTATGCATTCTACTATGGACCTGGCCTTGCTGTGTTAGGTGCTGGGATAGAACTACAAAGAATGAAGCAGTCTTAGGTTTGGAAAGGACCTTGGAGGTGACCTAATACAACCCCCCTGGTTTTACAGATGAGGAAACTGAGGCCCAGAAAGATGAAGTGACTAGGTCACAGAGTGGGGGGGCTGGAGGGTAAGTTGTGGTCCTGACTCTGAGTCCAAAGTTCTTTCATTATTGTTTAATTATGTCTGACTCTTTGTGACCCCATTTGGAGTTTTCTTGGCAAAGATACTGGAGTGGTTTGCCGTTTCCTTCTCAAACTCATTTTACAGATGAGGAAACTGAGGCAAACTGGTGAAGTGACTTGCCCTCGGTCACACAGCTAGGAAGTGTCTGAGGCCAGATTTGAACTCGGGGAGATGAGTCTTCCTGACTCCAGGCCCGGCCCTCTATCCACTATGGCGCCCCCTAGCTGCCCCTGTCCCATTTTACTACAATGTTATTTGAAGTCTACCGGGAAGCAGGCTTTCTCCCCTTCTCTTATGAGTCCCTCCTTCTTCTTTCTTCTGTCCACTCTGTATCTCCCACCTCCTCCCCCCAGCCTTGTCCCCGTGGCACCAGGGAGCACAAATCGGCCTTCTTTCCACAAGATTGATCCTTTTAGAAGTTAATCTTTGGATCAGGAGCCTGGCCTGGTGTGGCCGGCTAGGGACCTTTCCCCACTTTCCTTTCTGGATTAACCCCAAACGTAGCCAGCCCCCTGATAAAAGGTGGGGCTGGTGGCTGTGGAAGCAAGAGGGGGAGCATCCGTGTGTGCATGGAGAAAACTCCCAAGAGCCAATGATCTCTTTGGGAATGAGGACTGACCTTCCCCAGCCCTCCGTGATTGATACCAGTAGTGGTTTAGCCTCAGCGATCTGGCCTTACTCTTTCCTCCTTCTGTCCTTTCAGGCATTTCTCTTGCAGACGATAGATGGGCGCCACCAAGACCTTAAGTACATATCACCCGAGACGGTGAGGAGAGGGAGGTGGGACCTGGGATTTGCCAGGTCAGGGGTGGGGAAAAGGAGAAATAGTCCTTAGCTGCCCCAGTCTCAAGTGACACCACCTTTCTTCTCTTGACATTGCAGATGGTGGCCGTATTAACAGGGAAGTTTAGCAATATTGTGGAGAAATGTGTCATCCTGGATTGCAGATATCCCTACGAGTTTGAGGGTGGTCACATCAAGGTGAGTTGTGAGACAAGGGGCAGCAGCTTCGCCGCTGTGTGATAAGGTAAACACAAGCTAGAGGAAAGGATGGCCAGATTGGGATGAGGCAAGATGGGTGGGCAAGGGAGGGAGAGGTGTCATCACAGCCAGCCGCAAGGGGTGCTCTGGGCCTCGTGCTGTATGCCTTCAAGGCTCGGGGAACTCGGGTCTTCCTTCTCATCCCTACCCCAGGCAGTGTGGTGGTGTGGGTGGAGCGCTGGACTTGGGAGTCAGGAAGATGCCCCAGGTATTCTTCAGTCCTTAACTTCCCTGGGCCTCAGCTTCCTCATCTGTAAAATGAGTCAGGAGGGTGGGTGGACGTCTTGGCCTGCAGGGTCCCTTTCAGCTCTAAATCTGTGATCCTGTGAGGACAACCCCAGGACAGAAACAAGGGATTGAAGAAGGGAAAAGTCAGGCAGCCTTGAATCAGTGTAAGGGGAGAGTTATCCAACCTGGAGGCCTTCCCCAGACTGCCCCCCCCCCCCCTAAGCATTGGCATTGTCCTTTCTCCAGGGTGCGGTCAACCTCCCCTTGGAACAAGACGCAGAGAATTTCCTGCTGGTGAATCCCATTCTCCCCAGCGAGGACAAGAGGGTCATCTTAATTTTCCACTGTGAATTCTCCTCCGAGCGAGGGCCTCGAATGTAAGTGTCAGTCAAGTGGTGTCGTCCCCCAACCATGGGGCGGGGATGGAGAGGGAAGAAGAGAAGGGAGGGCTGTCTCGCCTGTTTTTGGAGTCCAACCCATACACAAAAGGACTTCCCACTGTGATACGAATCAGTCCACATTTATTAAGCACCTACTGCATTCCAGGCACTGTGCTAAGTGCTGACAAGTGATCTCTGGCAATCCTTCCTTTTCTGAGCCTCGGTTTCTTCCTCTGCAAACTGACTAGAGGCTCCGTTAAATAATCAGGTCATACCTCAAGTTCACTTCAAAGTGCATACGCACTGGTTATTGATTTGAAATTTTTGTCCTAGAACCCTTGTGCATTTGGGAAACAGAATAGTCAATAAACCTTTACTAAGCGCCTACCCTATCCCAGGTACTGAATCATAGATTAAGAGTTTGAAAGGGGCCCGAGGGGCCGTGGAGTCAGGCGAAAATGAGGCCCAGAGCAGGTAAGTGACTCGGCCGGGTCTCACAGCTAGCAATTACCTGATGCAGGATTCACACCCGCGTCTTCCCGGCTCCCAAGGCCAACCCTCGATGCACTGTGTACCAGGCTGCCCCCACGGCACTCTGTATGCCGTACCGATGCTTTCCACAGTGCCGTAGACTGGATTCACTCTGAGGTCACTGCGCCAGCCTGTGAGATCACGGCGTGCCGCCGGTGTTGACCAGGTTCAGCTCTTGACTCTGGTATTCAAGGCTGTCTTTGGTCTGATGCCTGAGCCTTCTTTCTGTTCCTCTGCCCTGACTTTGTCTTCCCAGGTGCCGATTCATCCGAGAGAGAGACAGAGCCGCCAATGACTACCCAAGCCTGTACTACCCCGAAATGTACATCCTCAAAGGGGGATACAAGGACTTCTTCCCGCAGTACCCGGTAAGGGCGGCCGGTGGGGGCTCTCAGTCCGGGGAACCGGAGTGCGCGGCTGGGCGGTAGCCAGTAGGGGGCAGGCGAGCTGGAGGGAGGATGGGCGTCGGTCTCCCAAGCCTCTCCTTCTAGAAACAAACCCAGAACATGATTAGTCACCTTAGCTAGCCAGCCGCGGGCGAATCTGGTCTTAAGTCTGAGGAGGAAGAGAGGGGAAGAATCAGTCACCAGCAAGCGTTTGTTAAGCACTTAACTGTGTGCCAGCTACAAAGAACATGTGAAACCAGTGCGCGCCCCAGAGAGCGGGGAGGGGTGGACGCGGTAGACCCAGGTAGCGCACGTTGTTGAGGGGCCCGCTGCCTCCTTCCTCCCGCCGTGCAGACCTTCTGTGAGCCCCAGGACTACCGGCCCATGAATCACCAAGACTTCAAGGAAGACTTTAAGAGGTTTCGCCTGAAGAGCCGCACCTGGTCGGGAGAGCGAAGCAAGCGGGAGATGTACAGCCGCCTGAAGGACTTCTGAGGGCGCGGGGAGCCAGGCTGGACCACTCTCCTCCCCCGGCCCCTCTTGTCTCCTCGCCTCCTCTCCTTCCCGCTCCCCGTCTCCCCCCGGCCGCTGGGAGACCCCCCACACCTGACTCTCCTGGGGTCTGTCCTGAAGAGGCTCCCACCCCACGTGGGGGGCCTGGTTCCTGGACGTGGCTTTTCCTCTTGCCGAATTCCAACTTTTCCTGGGGAAAAGTCCCCCTCTCTCCCTTCTTCCCCATTTATTTAATTATTTGTTGGACTTGAACCGAGGGGTCCAACCGAGGGCCATGCTGCCTTGGTGGTGGGTGGCAGCTGCCCGCTGTGCCAGTCCCAGGGGCTTCAGACCCGCTCTGATGTCTAGTGGCCTACTCTGTGTGTCTGGATCAAGGATGCTGGGGCCATCCTAGATCTTAGAAGGTGCTCAGCTGGCCTCTCTACTCCGGTGGGAGGTTTTCTGCCATGGAATTGTCTAGGATTTCACTCCCATCCTGCCCAGCTAACTCCCGTGCTCCTCCTACCCACGACAGGATTTTGTGTTTTGTGTGTTTTTTGTATTTCTCTTTTTCATCTTTGGCCCTTTGCCTGTTTTTTGTTTTTTGGGGGTTGAAAGGCAAGAGGAGCCTGGTTTGACATTAGCTCAGGCCCTGTGGGGTCTCCTCTGGGGACAAAAAGGGATCTCGCTTGCTCAAAGGAACAGTTGGGGATGGAGTTTAGATCTTTTTTTTCCCCTTACGCATTTATTTTCTTGGATTTGAAGTTTGTGCTATCCTGAATCCAAAATAGATTGGTTATGCAAATTGTATAAAAGATTGTGCTTAGGTGGGTGGGAAGACTGTCCCATGTGAATGAGGGAGAAAGCTCAGGGATCTCCCTCTGCTGACTGCTAAACATTTCATTTATTTTCTGAAAACAAAGCCTCTTGAAGGGAGTTTCACTCCCCGTTCCCCCCACCCCAGCCACCTTTGAGCCCTTGCTGCTGTTTGACTATGAAATGGTCCATCCCAGGGAGAAGGGCTGAGTGGGCCATCCTCAAGCCCAGGATACCTCCTTCTACCGTGCCCAGAAAGGGCAGTCTGCACACTTCTGTCTTTAAAAAAAAAAAAAATTTAAAGGTATAAGGGGGATGGAAAATGTCTTTTTTTGTTTGTTTGTTGAAAAAGCACTTCATAAACTTGCACAGTATCAAGTTGTTTTCTTTTTCCGCCCATTTGGTGGTAGCCTGCTGGGCCTGCCAGGGGAGGGATGGGGTTCAGGGGCTCTAAACCCAGCTGGGATGCGATGTAGCGTTGTAGGCAAGAAGGGGGTAGCACTCAGGCCTGCCCTCTGCCTAAGGAGGAGACCTATAGGCTTGGGTTTTTTTCCCCTTGAATCAGACCCCAAAGACAGTTGGGTAGAGGTGTGAGAACTGGGCACTGTGGGAGGGGGCAGACAAGATTCAGGCATTGTGGAAAACTTGTTTAAAGCCACACAATGTGCCCTGGGAGGGCCTTAGGATAGAATGATGCTTCTGGGCACCCGGCTGCCCAATCTGTGTTACTGTGAACTCCCCATCTGTTCCCTGGGGTTTCTTTGTGTGCTGGAGGAGCCAGACCGTTAGCCCTCTGGCACCTTGTCCTGAACGGGGGGCACTCAGCCACCGTCCTGCTCAGGTGTGACCTCTCTGCTGGTGTGTATATCCGCGTCCACATTGAAGGCTCCCTCTCATGAAAAGCACTTAATCTGTACCTGTCCCAGGAACCCTGCCCAGCCTGAGTTTGTATGTGTGTTTCTGTGACCCTGTCCATGAGCGTGAAGTGGATTCCCATTTTATTTAAAAGTGAGTAGGGCTGGGAGAGAGCCCTTTCCTAACCAGAGGACAGTTATCACATCTTTGTGGAAGGCTTCTCCAGCTCTCTGTCAGAAGTTAAAGGGGTTGAGGGCTTGTGACCTGGATGGCTTTCCACCTTCCGACTTGTTAACTTCCTTTTGTTCAATAAAGTCCTGGAATTTAGTCACTGGTGTCTGGTGTGTTCACCCTCTGTACCAGGAAATGGGGGTGGAGGTGCACATAAAGCCCCAGGGGAGGCAGAAACAGGTCCTTGGCCTCAGATAATTGGGGAGACAAGATGGAGCCAGGAAACAACGTTGGTTGAGTGAAAACAAGGAATTACAAGATTTGAACTTGATGTTGATGGAAACAGGGCTAAAGATGAGTGCATTTCAGGCATGGGCCTGCCTATACAATGTCATGGAGGTAGGAGATGAAAAGTTGAGAAATGTCAGGACCTAGTAGTTCTAGAATTGCGGGACACAGGTGTAATGTCAGGGAGGTTACCGTCCAGTAAAAAGGTACTTAAACTGTTTTGAGACAAGGAAAGTATGAATGGGCCAAGCCCTGGACTTCAATCTCCTTTGTCTGAAATAGAAAAGACCCTCTACTCTTTTCTGAACCAGCTCAGTCCTTTCATTTGGATCACTTGAGTTAGAAAGCTTTTCCTGCTGTCAAGTCTGACGGTGCCTTTTTTCACAATTTCTAATATTTAATGTTAAGTGCCTACTATGTGACATGCACCATGCTAAGGGCTGTGAATAGAGTGATGAAAATAAAACAATCCCTATCTTTGAAGAGCTCACAGCACCAAATTTGAGCTACTAATTTGCACGCATATTTTGGGAACCCAGGGAGATTACTGCTTTGGTTCTAGAGGTAACCTAAATTTGTTTCTCTAGCCCTTTTTAAATTCACAAGCCCCTATTGATGTGTTTCCCATTAACAGTCTCACCAATAGACAAAAGTAGCTCTTAGCAAAGGTGTTTACTAAGCATGTATATTAAGGAGCTGCAATAATATTATTGTTGATTTAGCACTTTAAGCGAAGCACTTTGCATGTTAATTTGTTTGAAATATACCCTCCCCATAAACCTGAGGTGCATTCTCCCAAAAAACATAGCATCTATAGGAAGAGTGGACATTTCCCACCTGGCTGCGTTCCTCAGGACTTCATCATGTTCCTTTGCAGGGTTCTCACTCCCTATTTTCAGTTTCCTTTTGTTGTCTTTCTCTTTTAGAATGTAAGCTCCTTGAAGGCAGGGACTGTTTTTTGGCTTTCTTTGTATCCCCAACATAGCATAATACTTGTAGGCACTTAATAAAATGTTGTTGACTGACACAAACCTGAAGCAGAAGGGTAGTGAGGACAAATGGAGGATACACATGTAGCAAAGGCAAGCCATGATTCCTGATCCTGCAGGACCTAAAAGTCTTTCCTTGAGCAGTCCTCTCAAAGCTTCCTCTCTGATCGAGTAGGCAGGTTTTTTCTGGGTAGCCAGGGTCTGCTCCTCTGCATCATAGCTGGCTCTCTTCTCTGCTGCCAGGGTTCATGCATATTGAAGCTGCTTGCTCTTCTAATGACTCTGCTTCAGTGCCCCTCTGCTCCCTGCTGGATGCCATGCCTCTCTTCTGGCCAAGTAACTACAATTCAAAACGATGTAACTGATGAAGGGCAGGGGAAGAAAAGAAAATCCCATCCTCATGGCCTCGCCCTCTAGTGTAGGTGCTCTAAGGGTCTTCTCAACTGCCTCTAACTCACAGGGACAAGCTAATTTGTTTGCTCAGCCTTGTTCCCTTCTTGAATTCCCTCCAAGAGAACTCAGGGTGTAGAAGCACCTTCAGCACCTTCTGCACTTAGTTTAACACCTCATTAACACCTTGTGAGTAAATTGACAAAATCCTGTGACTACCACTGAAATAAAGGGTAAAGCAGAGATCTCTGCCTTCTTTCCCTTACACAAACAAATACAAAATACATACATGGTTGTTTGGGGGATGGGAGGATGCTCTAGCATCTGGGGAAACCTGGAAAGAGCTCCTTTAGGAAGTGGCACTGAATGGAGCTGAGTTTTGAATGAAGAAGGTAGGTGCCGTAGTGGATAGAGTAATTGACTTGGAGTTAAAAAGACCTGAGTTCGAATACTGCTTCTGCCACTAGCTGTATGGTCCTGGGCAAGTCATTTCACCTGTATCAGTCTCAGTTTCCATCATCTAAAAAATGGGGATGATAATAGTATGACTTCACATCCATGCCATGAAAATGAAATGAAACTATATGTAAAGGGCTTTGAAAACTGTAAAATACTACATAAATGTGAGCTCTACATCCTAAAAGGTACATGTGAAGAAAGAATGAATTTCAAGTATGAGATGGAAACAGATACCACTTGTGAAAAGGCCCAGAGATAGGAGACAGAATATTGTGTCCAAGTACCAGCAATAAAGCTGGTTTGGCCGAAAAGCAAAAGTGTGTGAAAGGGAACGGTATCCAATCACCCTGGATTAGTGGTAGGCTAGAGTCAGATTGTAATGGACTTCGAATGCCAAACAGAGGCATCTATATTTGATTTTTAAAAGTAAAAAGCTAGTGGAATTTTGGGTCAGACCTGTGCTTTAGGAAAATCACTTGGGCAGCTGTGTGGAGGGTGGATTAGAATGGGGAGAGACCCAGAGAGTGGAGACCACTTAGAAGGGTATTTTGATAATCAGGTGAGATGTAATGAGGGCCCGAACAAGTGTGGTAGCCAAGTGGGTGGAGAAAAGAGGACACATCTGAGATATATTGCGGACCAACAAGACTTGGTAATTAGTAGGATGAGGGTGGCTGGGAGGTGAGGAGAAGGGAAGGCAAAGGTAACTTGGAGGTGGTAAACTCTGATGACTACAAGGATTGTGATATCTTGACAGAAATGGTGAAGCTCAAAAAAAGGGAGCATTTGGAAGGAAAGATGATGAATTCTGGTTTGGGTATATTGAGATGAGATGCCTAAGACACAGCCATTCTGAAATATCCAAGAGGTTGCTGGTGATTTACAGAACTGAGAATCACATGTCTAGAGATGACACGGGAGCCAATGAGGTCACTGTGAGAGGTATAGAAGAAGAAGAAGATGGCCCCGTAGAGAGCTCTTGGGTAAATCCTCAGGGTTGGGGTTTTTTTTTGGGGGGGGGGTGGCTGATGGCTGATGGTTTGGCAAAAGAGACTGAGAAGAAATGGTCAGATGGGCAAGAGGAGAGCCAACAAAGATTAGGATCACAAAAATTCATGGAGGCCAGAGAACTCCAGATGAGAAGGTCATCATCATCCGTTTGACTAAGAAATGGAAGAGAGTCTATCTAAGGACAAGAATTTCAGGAGATGATAGGGTTTTTAAGGATGTGCACATTTTGTAAGAAGCAGGGAAGAAACCAGCACATTTTTTTAAAAAATTTATACATTTTTCATTTTGAACCCAACAAACACCAAACAAAAGGAGCATTTCCCTATACCGAGCAAAACAGAAAAAGAGGAAAGTCTAATCCAGGGATGGGCCATGTGTGGCCTCGAGGTCTAATCTCTACCATGTTTAGCGGGCTCTTGCCTCCAAGTAGACAACAAAATCAACATGTGACTTTCACAGTTGTTCTGTGGGTCCATTCCCCTGTGAACTTCCTTCAGTTCTCTTAAGTGCATTTTAAAAAATGCTTCAATGACTCTTCTTTCTTTTCATTTTCATTTTTTTCCTGACAACCTTATCATTACTCTCTCTCCCCCTACCATCCCATTACCCCCTTGGGAAAAAAAAAATAAAACCCTTGCAAAAAAACCATGTATAATCAAGCATAATAAATTTCCCTATTCATGTCCAAAAATATATGTCTCGTTGCAAATATATTTCTGGAGAGTGCCCCAAGTTCTGCCCTCTGGGGCTAAGCAAAATAATTCATATCAGAGGAGAAATAATGTCATCCCATCATGCACCAGTCTCCTGCCTCTGGGTCCAGATAAGGGAGAAAACTCCATTTCATTTAGCATCAGCCTCCTCCCTTCCAGAGAAGGGGAGAAAAGCCGTTCTCCAACTGGGCCTCTTCCCTCTGGGAAAGAGAAGTGACCCCATTTTGTCAACTCCAAACACCCGTCCCCTTACCTGAACCACATAAGAAGATACCACTCTGAGGCCAAATTCATATAGACAATAAAAATCTAATAAACTAGTTAACAAATTCCCCATTGATCATACTCTCCCAATGATTCTGAACCCTCAGTGGTCATCATTCTAAACTACTCACATCCCCCTCTATCAGATCTTTTCTTCCCATTACCTTTAACCCAACCCTCTTAATGTCCCACCTTAAAGCTATCCACCCTTTCCACTATGCTCTCAAGAATGCCCATTCCATAGACTTTCTTACTTAATGGTTTCCTTTCCCACTCCTCCCATCTTCTGGCTTTCACTGAGACCTGACCTCTTTTCTCATTTCCCCAATTCACTAGTCAAGGTAGGACAGTTGGAATTTGCTGTGCTCTCCATTATCTACCTACATTATCCTCTTACCTATCTGATCAGTCCTTCTGGGTCCCCTGCATCTTCATCCAAGTCACATCTTCTACAGAACTCTGTCCTGGTCCCTCTTCTCTTCTCCATCCATACTATTTTCCTTGATGATATTATCAGTTCTGTTGGTTTCAATTATTATCTCAATGCTGATGATTCTTAAATCTTAAATTTATCTGTCCCTAACCTCTAGTACCGAATCTTCTACCTGCTGGATGGCTTGAACTAAAGGTCTCCCAAATGTCTTAAGCTCAACATGTCCCCAGACCTTCCCCTCTTCCTAACTTCTCTATTACTTTTGAGAGTACCTCCATCCTACCAGTCACCCAAGCTCAAAATCTAGGGATCATCTTCAAACCTCTAACTCTTCCCCCTTATCCAGTCTGTTGCCAAGACCTTTCAACTTTACCTTTGTAACATGTCTCAAATACATCCTCTCTCTTTGGATGCTGCTACCACTCTAGGATAGGCCCTCATCACTTCATACCTGGACTATTTAAGTAGCCTGCTGGTAGGTCTCCCTGGGACAAGTCTCTGCCCAAGCCCAGTCCATCCTCCACTTGAGGGTCAGATTCCTCTGCTTAAAGTACAGATCTGATCGTGCCACCTCCACTACTCGGTAAACTCCAGTGGCCCTCATCACCTCCAG